ATATAGACACACAGAGACTCATAGAGACACCAATAGAGACACACAGAGACTCATAGAGACACCAATAGAGACACACAGAGACTCATAGAGACACCAATAGAGACACACAGAGACTCATAGAGACACCAATAGAGACACACAGAGACTCATAGAGACACCAATAGAGACACACAGAGACTCATAGAAACACCAATAGAGACACACAGAGACTCATAGAGACACCAATAGAGATACGCAGTGACTCATAGAGACACCAATAGAGACACACAGAGACTCATAGAAACACCAATAGAGACACACAGAGACTCATAGAGACACCAATAGAGATACGCAGTGACTCATAGAGACACCAATAGAGACACAGAGACTCATAGAAACACCAATAGAGACACACAGAGACTCATAGAGACACCAATAGAGATACACAGTGACTCATAGAGACACCAAGAGAGACACACAGAGACTCATAGAGACACCAATAGAGATACACAGTGACTCATAGAGACACCAATAGAGATACACAGAGACTCATAGAGACACCAATAGAGACACACAGAGACTCATAGAGACACCAATAGAGACACACAGAGACTCATAGAAACACCAATAGAGACACACAGAGACTCATAGAGACACCAATAGAGACACACAGAGACTCATAGAGACACCAATAGAGATACACAGAGACTCATAGAGACACCAATAGAGACACACAGAGACTCATAGAGACACCAATAGAGACACACAGAGACTCATAGAGACACCAATGGAGATACACAGAGACTCATAGAGACACCAATATAGACACACAGAGACTCATAGAGACACCAATAGAGACACACAGAGACTCATAGAGACACCAATAGAGACACACAGAGACTCATAGAGACACCAATGGAGACACACAGAGACTCATAAAGACACCAATAGAGACACACAGAGACTCATAGAGACGCCAATAGAGATACACAGAGATTCATAGAGATACCAATAGAGACACACAGAGACTCATAGGGACACCAATAGAGATACACAGAGACTCATAAAGACACCAATATAGACTCATAGAGACACCAATAGAGACACACAGAGACTCATAGAGACGCCAATAGAGACACACAGAGACTCATAGAGACACCAATAGAGACACACAGAGACTCATAGAGACACCAACAGAGACAGACAGAGACTCATAGAGACACCAATAGAGACACACAGACTCATAGAGACACCAATAGAGACACACAGAGACTCATAGAGACACCAATAGAGACACACAGAGACTCATAGAGACACCAATAGAGATACACAGAGACTCATAGAGACACCAATAGAGACACACAGAGACTCATAGAGACACCAATAGAGACACACAGAGACTCATAGAGACACCAATAGAGACAGAGACTCATAGAGACTCATAGAGACACCAATAGAGACACACAGAGACTCATAAAGACACCAATAGAGACACACAGACTCATAGAGACACCAATAGAGACACACAGAGACTCATAAAGACACCAATAGAGACACACAGAGATTCATAGAGACACCAATAGAGACACACAGAGACTCATAGAGACACCAACAGAGACAGACAGAGACTCATAGTCACCAATAGAGACACACAGACTCATAGAGACACCAATAGAGACACACAGACTCATAGAGACACCAATAGAGACACACAGAGACTCATAGAGACACCAACAGAGACACACAGACTCATAGAGTCACCAATAGAGACACACAGACTCATAGAGACACCAATAGAGACACACAGAGACTCATAGAGACACCAATAGAGACACACAGGGACTCATAGAGACACCAACAGAGACACACAGAGACTCATAGAGTCACCAATAGAGACACACAGACTCATAGAGACGCCAATAGAGACACACAGAGACTCATAGAGTCACCAATAGAGACACACAGACTCATAGAGACACAAATAGAGACACACAGAGACTCATAGAGACACCAATAGAGACACACAGACTCATAGAGACACCAATAGAGACACACAGACTCATAGAGACACCACGAGAGACACACAGAGACTCATAGAGACACCAATAGAGACACACAGAGACTCATAGAGACACCAATAGAGACACACAGAGACTCATAGAGACACCAATAGAGACACACAGAGACTCATAGAGACACCAATAGAGATACACAGAGACTCATAGAGACACCAATAGAGACACACAGAGACTCATAGAGACACCAATAGAGACACACAGAGACTCATAGAGACACCAATAGAGACACACAGAGACTCATAGAGACACCAATAGAGACACACAGAGACTCATAGAGACACCAATAGAGACACACAGAGACTCATAGAGACACCAATAGAGACACACAGACTCATAGAGACACCAATAGAGACACACAGACTCATAGAGACACCAAGAGAGACACACAGAGACTCATAGAGACACCAATAGAGACACACAGAGACTCATAAAGACACCAATAGAGACACACAGAGACTAATAGAGACACCAATAGAGACACACAGAGACTCATAGAGACACCAATAGAGATACACAGAGACTCATAGAGACACCAATCAAGACACACAGAGACTCATAGAGACACCAATAGAGACACACAGAGACTCATAGAGACACCAATAGAGATACACAGAGACTCATAGAGACACCAATAGAGACACACAGAGACTCATAGAGACACCAATAGAGACACACAGAGACTCATAGAGACACCAATAGAGACACACAGAGACTCATAGAGACACCAATAGAGACACACAGAGACTCATAGAGACACCAATAGAGACACACAGAGACTCATAGAGACACCAATAGAGACACACAGACTCATAGAGACACCAATAGAGACACACAGACTCATAGAGACACCAATAGAGACACACAGAGACTCATAGAGACACCAATAGAGACACACAGAGACTCATAGAGACACCAATAGAGACACACAGAGACTCATAGAGACACCAATAGAGACACACAGAGACTCATAGAGACACCAATAGAGATACACAGAGACTCATAGAGACACCAATAGAGACACACAGAGACTCATAGAGACACCAATAGAGACACACAGAGACTCATAAAGACGGCAATAGAGACTCATAGAGACACCAATAGAGACACACAGAGACTCATAGAGACACCAATAGAGACACACAGAGACTCATAGAGACACCAATAGAGACACACAGAGACTCATAGAGACACCAATAGAGATACACAGAGACTCATAGAGACACCAATAGAGACACACAGAGACTCATAGAGACACCAATAGAGACACACAGAGACTCATAGAGACACCAATAGAGACAGAGACTCATAGAGACTCATAGAGACACCAATAGAGACACACAGAGACTCATAAAGACACCAATAGAGACACACAGAGACTCATAGAGACACCAATAGAGACACACAGAGACTCATAGAGACACCAATAGAGACACACAGAGACTCATAGAGACACCAATAGAGACAGAGACTCATAGAGACTCATAGAGACACCAATAGAGACACACAGAGACTCATAAAGACACCAATAGAGACACACAGAGACTCATAGAGACACCAATAGAGACACACAGAGACTCATAGAGACACCAATAGAGACACACAGAGACTCATAGAGACACCAATAGAGACACACAGTGAACCCACAGAGACTCACAGAGACTCATAGAGACACCAATAGAGACACACAGAGACTCATAGAGACACCAATAGAGACACACAGAGACTCATAGAGACACCAATAGAGACACACAGAGACTCATAGAGACACCAATAGAGACACACAGAGACTCATAAAGACGGCACAGTGAACCCACTGTGGGCTGCGCTCCTTCAACGGAGGAGGAGGAACAGCGACACGAACTCTTTGTGCCTCTCTCTGTCTCTCACTCTCTCTGTCTCTCTGTCTCTCACTCTCTCTGTCTCTCTGTCTATCTGTCTCTCTCTGACTCTCTCTGTCTCTCTCTCTGTGTCTCTCTCTGTCTCTCACTCTCTCTGTCTCTCTGTCTCTCACTCTCTCTGTCTCTCTGTCTATCTGTCTCTCTGACTCTCTCTGTCTCTCTCTCTCTCTGTTTCTCTCCGTCTCTCTGTGTCTCTCTCTGTCTCTCTCTGTCTCTCTCTCTCTCTGTTTCTCCCCCTCTCTCTATCTGTCTCTCTCTCTCTGTTTCTCCCCCTCTCTCTGTGTGTCTATCTCTCTGTGTCTCTCTCTGTCTCTCACTCTCTCTGTCTCTCTGTCTATCTGTCTCTCTCTGACTCTCTCTGTCTCTCTCTCTCTCTGTTTCTCTCCGTGTCTCTGTCTCTCTCTCTATCTGTCTCTCTCTCTCTCTGTGTCTCTCTCTCTGTGTCTCTCTCTGTCTCTCTCTGTTTCTCTCCGTCTCTCTGTCTCTCTCTCTATCTGTCTCTCTCTCTCTCTCTGTGTCTCTCTCTGTGTCTCTCTCTGTCTCTCTCTGTCTCTCTGTCTCTCTCTGTTTCTCTCCGTCTCTCTCTCTCTCTGTTTCTCTCCGTCTCTCTGTCTCTCTCTCTCTCTGTTTCTCCCCCTCTCTCTGTGTGTCTCTCTCTCTCTGTCTCTCTCTCTCTGTCTCTGTCTCTCTCCGTCTCTCTGTCTCTCTCTCTCTCCGTCTCTCTGTCTCTCTCTCTGTCTCTCTCTCTGTCTCTCTGTCTATCTGTCTCTCTCTGTCTCTCTCTCTCTCTGTCTCTCTCTCTCTCTGTGTCTCTCTCTCTGACTCTCTCTCTTCGTGGCAGCAGCAGCAGCAGCTTGAGACGGCGTCAAACGCCTTCACGACAACACCAAGGAAGTTAGAGAGACCCCTAACCCAAGCATCCGTGACGACTCGCCATCTTCTAGTGACGATGTTAACATCTTCTTATCTCATCCCATCCTCATCGTCACCTCCTCCCCCATCCTCCTCCCCCATCTCGTTGACGCCGATTCTTCCCGCGTCACAGGGCCGCCGGGTGCCTTCGTCGCCTCCTCGGGCTACCCCGTGGGTGACCCCGTTGGTGACCCCATGAGTGACCCCGTGGGTGACCCCGTGAGTGACCCCGTGGGTGACCCCGTAGGTGACCCCATGAGTGACCCCGTGGGTAACCCCGTGAGTGACTCCGTGGGTGACCCCGTGGGTGACCCCGTGGGTGACTCCGTGGATGACCCCGTGAGTGACTACGTGGATGACCCCGTGGGTGACCCCGTGGGTGACTACGTGGGTGACCCCGTGGGTGACCCCGTGGGTGACCCCGTGAGTAACTACGTGGGTGACCCCGTGGGTGACCCCGTGGGTGACTACGTGGGTGACCCCGTGGGTGACCCCGTGAGTGACTACGTGGGTGACCCCGTGGGTGACCCCGTGGGTGACTCCGTGGATGATCCCGTGAGTGACTACGTGGATGACCCCGTGGGTGACCCCGTGGGTGACTACGTGGGTGACCCCGTGGGTGACCCCGTGGGTGACCCCGTGAGTGACTACGTGGGTGACCCCGTGGGTGACCCCGTGGGTGACTACGTGGGTGACCCCCTGGGTGACCCCGTTAGTGACTCCGTGAGTGACTCCGTGGATGACTCCGTCGGTGACCCCGTGGGTGACCCCGTGGGTGACCCCATGAGTGACCCCGTGGGTGACTCCGTGGGTGACCCCGTGGGTGACTCCGTGGATGACCCCGTGAGTGACTACGTGGGTTACTCCGTGGGTGACCCCGTGGGTGACTCCGTGGATGACCCCGTGAGTGACTCCGTCGGTGACTCCGTGGATGACCGCGTGGGTGGCTCCGTGGGTGACCCCGTGGGTGACCCCGTGGGTGACTCTGTGGGTGACCCCGTAGGTGACCCCGTGGGTGACCCCGTGGGTGACTCTGTGGGTGACCCCGTAGGTGACCCTGTGGGTGACCCCGTGGGTGACCCCGTGGCGATGGCGGGGTTTGTGCTGCACGCGAGGCCTCAGCTCGTCTCCCGCAAGATGTCGACACGAGGTGGCGTGGCCTACGAGGTGAGGGCCACCACCTACCCTCCAGCCCTCCCCCCACCCCACCGGGGTTGGCCCTGTGTAAAAACGTGATGGCCCTACCACTCACCCAGGCACTCGTGCGTTCGCGAATGATTTCAGACGGTCGTTCACTCGCCGATTCAGTCGCTCGCTCACCGACCCACTCGCCGGTTCGTTCACTCAATCATTCACTCACTCGTTAGCTCATTCATTCGCAAAATCATTGACTCACTCATTCACCCAATCATTGACTAACTCACTCACTCATTCATCCATCCAATCATTTACTCACTCATTCACCCAATCATTGACTCGCTCATTCGCCCAATCATTGACTCACTCATTCATCCAATCATTGACTCCTTCATTTACCCAATCATTGACTCCCTTATTCATTCACTCACTCACTCATTTAAGCAATCGTGCACACGCTCGCTGACTCGTGTTGCCACCCGTCCCGGTTCGACCGGGACACAGGCCCCCCCCCCTCCCCCCCCTCCCCCCCCCTGGGGGCCTAACCTCGTCTACGTCGCGTGCCCCCCAACGTTGGCATTGCCACTCGAGTTTGTGGGGGGGGGAGGTGGGAGGTGTTAGTGGGGGGTGGTGGTGGGGGATGTTGGTGGGGCGAGGTGGGGGGTGGTGGTGGGGGATGGTGGTGTTGGTGGGGAGTGGTGGGGGGTGGTGGGGGGGGTGGTGGTGGGGGGTGGTGGTGTTGGTGGGGGGTGGTGGTGGGAAGTGGTGGTGAGGAGTGGTAGTGGGGGGTGGTTTGGGGTGGTGGTGGGGGTTGTTGGTGGGGGGTGTTGGTGGGGGATTGTGGTTGTGGGGGGGGGGAGCTGGGTGGGGACAGGGGCTGGGTGGGTGGGGGGTGTTGGTGGGGGGTGTTGGTGGGGGGGGGGGGGTGGTGGTAGTGGGGGGAGTGGGTGGGTGGGGGGTGTTGGTGGGGGGTATTGGTGGGGGGGGGTGGTAGTGGGTGGAGTGGGTGGGGGGTGTTGGTGGGGGGTATTGGTGGGGGGGTGGTGGTAGTGGGGGGAGTGGGTGGGTGGTGCTGCGCGCCGCCGTTTCTCTCCATGGCCCTTGTCTGTCCGGGCCGGCCGGCTCGCTCAAGAGTGGCCGTCACGGCCTGGCAGCACCCTCGAGTGCTACGCCGGGGGGGGGGGGGCCGGGGGGGGCCGGGGGGGGCCCAGGAAATCGCGGCCACGCGGGGGGAACGGAGAGGACCTGGGGGGGGGGGGGTAGGTGCGGGCGTTGCCGTGGCAGCCGCCACTCCACGTTCGGTCCGGGGGCGGAGGGGTCTGCATGTGATGGTTGGGCGATCGGACGATGAGTGTGGACATTCCACCACCACCTTCACTGAGCGCGTCTCGCTCACGTTTAGCAATCATCCGGCGCGGTCAGCGGGCGCGCCTGGGTGGTTGGTGTTTTGGTTATCGGCTGTGAGTGCGTCGTGTGAGTTTAAGGCGTTCAACGCCGACATCGCAGGGCAAATCCGGACGGGGGTGCTAAACCGTAGCTAGTGAAATAAGAATTAATTAATCGGTGAATGAATGGCTGAGCGAGTGAGTGAGTGAATGATTGAGTAATGGAATTATGTGAGTGTACGGGCAGTGCGGAGTCTATGGGCAGTGATGAGTATATGGGTAGTGCTGAGTCTGTGGGCAGTGCTGAGTCAATGGTTCAGTGCTGAGTCTATGGGCAGTGATGAGTCTATGGGCAGTGTTGAGTCTATGGGCAGTGTTGAGTCTACGAGCAGTGCTGAGTCTATGGTGCAGTGCTGAGTCTATGGGCAGTGTTGAGTCTATTGTGCAGCGCTGAGTCTATGGGCAGTGCTGAGTCTATGGGCAGTGTTGAGTCTATGGGCAGTGTTGAGTCTATGAGCAGTGTTGAGTCTATGGTGCAGTGCTGAGCCTATGGGCAGTGCTGAGTCTATGGGTAGTGCTGAGTCTATGGTGCAGTGTTGAGTCTATGGGTAGTGCTGAGTCTATAGGCAGTGCTGAGTCTATGGGCAGTGTTGGGTCTATGGGCAGTGTTGAGTCTATGATCAGTGCTGAGTCTATGGTGCAGTGCTGAGTCTATGGGCAGTGTTGAGTCTATTGTGCAGCGCTGAGTCTATGGGCAGTGCTGAGTCTATGGGCAGTGCTGAGTCTATGGGCAGTGATGAGTCTATGGGCAGTGTTGAGTCTATGTGCAGTGCTGAGTCTATGGTGCAGTGTTGAGTCTATGTGCAGTGCTGAGTCTATGTGCAGTGTTGAGTCTATGGGCAGTGTTGAGTCTATGTGCAGTGTTGAGTCTATGGGCAGTGCTGAGTCTATGCGCAGTGCTGAGTCTATGGGCAGTGATGAGTCTATGGGCAGTGTTGAGTCTATGTGCAGTGCTGAGTCTATGGTGCAGTGCTGAGTTTATGGTGCAGTGTTGAGTCTATGGTGCAGTGCTGAGTCTATGGTGCAGTGTTGAGTCTATGGGCAGTGCTGAGTCTATGCGCAGTGCTGAGTCTATGGGCAGTGATGAGTCTATGGGCAGTGTTGAGTCTATGTGCAGTGCTGAGTCTATGGTGCAGTGCTGAGTCTATGGGCAGTGCTGAGTTTATGATGCAGTGTTGAGTCTATGGTGCAGTGTTGAGTCTATGGTGCAGTGTTGAGTCTATGGGTAGTGTTGAGTCTATGGTGCAGCGCTGAGTCTATGGGCAGTGCTGAGTCTATGGGCAGTGTTGAGTCTATGGGCAGTGTTGAGTCTATGAGCAGTGTTGAGTCTATGGTGCAGTGCTGAGCCTATGGGCAGTGCTGAGTCTATGGGTAGTGCTGAGTCTATGGTGCAGTGTTGAGTCTATGTGCAGTGTTGAGTCTATGGGTAGTGCTGAGTCTATAGGCAGTGCTGAGTCTATGGGCAGTGTTGGGTCTATGGGCAGTGTTGAGTCTATGAGCAGTGCTGAGTCTATGGTGCAGTGCTGAGTCTATGGGCAGTGTTGAGTCTATTGTGCAGCGCTGAGTCTATGGGCAGTGCTGAGTCTATGGGCAGTGCTGAGTCTATGGGCAGTGATGAGTCTATGGGCAGTGTTGAGTCTATGGGCAGTGCTGAGTCTATGGTGCAGTGTTGAGTCTATGTGCAGTGCTGAGTCTATGTGCAGTGTTGAGTCTATGGGCAGTGCTGAGTTTATGGTGCAGTGTTGAGTCTATGGTGCAGTGTTGAGTCTATGGTGCAGTGTTGAGTCTCTGGGTAGTGTTGAGTCTATGGTGCAGTGCTGAGTCTATGGGCAGTGTTGAGTCTATGGGCAGTGCTGAGTCTATGGTGCAGTGCTGAGTCTATGGTGCAGTGCTGAGTCTATGGGCAGTGCTGAGTCTATGTGCAGTGTTGAGTCTATGGTGCAGTGTTGAGTCTATGGGTAGTGTTGAGTCTATGGTGCAGTGCTGAGTCTATGGGCAGTGTTGAGTCTATGGGCAGTGCTGAGTCTATGGTGCAGTGCTGAGTCTATGGTGCAGTGCTGATTCTATGGTGCAGTGCTGAGTCTATGTGCAGTGCTGAGTCTATGGTGCAGTGCTGAGTTTATGGGCAGTGTTGAGTCTATGGGCAGTGTTGAGTCTATGGGCAGTGCTGAGTCTATGGTGCAGCGCTGAGTCTATGGTGCAGTGCTGATTCTATGGTGCAGTGCTGAGTCTATGGGCAGTGCTGAGTCTATGTACAGTGCTGAGTCTATGGTGCAGTGCTGAGTCTATGTGCAGTGTTGAGTCTATGGGCAGTGCTGAGTCTATGGTGCAGTGCTGAGTCTATGTGCAGTGTTGAGTCTATGGGCAGTGCTGAGTCTATGGTGCAGTGCTGAGTCTATGGTGCAGTGCTGAGTCTATGGTGCAGTGCTGAGTCTATGTGCAGTGTTGAGTCTATGGGCAGTGCTGAGTCTATGGTGCAGTGTTGAGTCTATGGTGCAGTGCTGAGTCTGTGGTGCAGTTCTGAGTCTATGGTACAGTGCTGAGTCTATGGGCAGTGTTGAGTCTATGGTGCAGTGCTGAGTCTATGGGCAGTGTTGAGTCTATGGGCAGTGCTGAGTCTATGGGTAGTGTTGAGTCTATGATAAGTGCTAAGTCTATGGGCAGTGCTGAGTCTATGGGCAGTGCTGAGTCTATGGTGCAGTGTTGAGTCACGGGGCGTGTGAAGTGAAGTCACGGGCGACGAGGTGAGCGCCGGGTGCCATGGTCTGGCCGTCGCGGTCGGCGGTGGCGACCCCCACCACCACCACCACCCCCACCACCACCCCCCGCTCCTCCCGCTCTCTCCGAACCCGACGAGAGAGCGAGCGAGCGAGAGAGAGGGGCCTCGTGAATTATGGATCCGTGGGTGGCACTCACCCCCATTCCCTCCATCACTCCTCCCCTCCACCCCCCCTCCACCCTCCCCCTCCACCCTCCCCCTCCACCCTCCCCCTCCACCCCCACCCTCCTACCACCCCGCCCACCCCCAAGCTCTTTATGCACCACCTCCGAGTTCCACCTGGCCACTAAAGTCGCGTGGAGGTGTCCCAGTACCCATCTCTCTCCGTGAGCTCCATCCTCCTCCTCCATCCTCCTCCTCCGCACGCATGGAGCCCCTTCTCGACCTCACCACCCTCCTCCTCCTCCTCGTCGTCCTCGTCGCCCCAAGCGGCTCGCAGGTGATGGACGGCCGCCCTCATCTCGACCGTCTCCGGAGCCAGCAGGGGGGCGGGGGGGTGAGCCAGGGGAGGTCAAACTCCCCTCGGTTAGTGGGGAAGGGGGAGCGGTGGCACGCGTTGAACCCGTGCCCGCCGGCTGGCGACGCTCGCTGGCAACGAGCGGGCCCCGCGCTTTAACCAGGCTGCGGCGGAGTGAGCCGGAGTGGTGAAGTATGGTCAAACGGGCACCCTTTCCTCCCTCCCTCCCCACGTGCGATGGGGGGGGGCAGGGGGTAGCGGTGGCGAGAGAAGTTTCATTCCACGCGTCCGCTCACGGCGCTTCCGACAACCACCAACCCCCGCCGCCGCCGCCCCCTCGCCGCACCGC